AAACCACATTATAGTGTATGCAATAATTTTTAATTTTTTTTATATTTTGATTTTGTATGAAAAATATATTTTCGATATACATGTATAATTTAAAATTAGTGATATTAGTTACCAAAATATTTGTAACCCGGTTTTTTATATATATTTTTAGTTCTATGAATTTTTAAAAATATATTTTTAATATTTAAATTATACATTTGAATTTTACCTATTATTTTATTATTAGTTTGTAAATAAATCATAATCGTAAATATATTATATAAACAACACAAATATCATATCATTTACATCATTATAAATATTTTATATTTCAAATATGACCATTATTTTTCATATGTGAATTTTTTTTTTTCAAAAATTCTAGATATTTTTGATAAAAATGTTTAATAGTATAGAAATTATTTAAATTAGAATCTTTAAATCAAATCTAAATTAATATCTGATTTATTATTTTTAATCAAATCAAATCAAATCTAAATTACCTATATTTAAGGAACTCTAAAAATATTTAAATTAATAACTAATTTCGAAATTAAATATAAATAATTATTAAAATTATTTTTAAACGCTTAAAAAAAATTAGGAGTGTTTGGAAGCAAGTACTAAATGTGATTCTGTTTTAATATAATAGATATCTAACTCATTAATTTATAGATAATGAGTGGTCCTGATTTGTTAGCTAAACGACGTTTAAAATATCATAGCACCCTAACAAAACTAAGCCCTAAATTTTATATCTTAAAGTCTAACCTGTATCGTAAAGGTTAGAACTATATAATAGAGAAAAATATTCTTTACATATCATTTCAAATGATGGAGTTTATTTTTATCTCATCTAGTTACTTTCTGTTTTGTTAGAAATCATATTTTCAAACATTAGAGCATCTCACGACCACCAAAATACTTAAAAGTTTGTCATCATGTTTAAGTGTTTCAATCCTCTATTATTAGTAGTAGATTGATTTACACATATATTAAAAAAAAAACTCTCAATTTGTAAGTTAAAACAATATTTTATCTCTCTGAATCATCCATCTCAATTGTTGTTCAAATAGTTAATTTGTTGTTTTTTATATTTATTATGAGATTTTTTAACACTATTCAAAACATTAATATATACTGCGATAATCACAAATCTGAATATAATATAAATCTATTCCTATATCCTTCATAACCATAGCAAAAACTAAACCTTAAATCTAAATTTTAAACATGTGAGCCGATATATATATATATATATATATATATATATATATATATATATATATATCCTATTTTTTTTAATCCAAAAGGTCATTAGGAAAATTATACCGCATGCGTCTAAATTGTTGTAAAACATATAATAGTTGCAAGTTAATTATGTATAACTATTTGGGTTTTGAGCTTTATGCTTATAACATTTAAAGTGATACTCGTATAAATATTAATATCAAATGGTCATGCATGTACATTGATTGCATTTAGATGTCACTTTTGTCTGCTTGTGATTTTGCAAACAAATCTAAATGTATTTTATATTAAAATTTAATTAAAATGACTATAAAAAGTAGTCTCTTTATGTAATATTAGGGTTTATCCCGCGCTACGCGCAGATCATTTGTATATATCTAGTTCCACTTATAGTATTTGCTCAAGTAATAACTATATATTAATCATTTGAGTATTGATTTGGTTGATCGTTACTTAAACGTAAATTTACAAATTTAAGAAAATATATTATTTTTTTGAAACCTAAAAAAATGTGAAGAAGAAGAAAATATCTTGTTTGTCATGTAGGTTATTCGGAACTCTCCGACGCATTGTCAAGCAGTAGCCAATAAAATCGATTAAACACTTGAGAGAGGGATCTAAGAATATATATTGAAATCCAATGTAGAAATTAATTTGGTTTTCAACTATGTATCATATATGGGGATGATCAAACGAAAATGTGGTGAATAAAATTACATTTTTTTGCTATCAATATTATACCTTTGGGATGTCTTAACTTTTTTTTTATATGACATTTGCGTTGGCGTATAATTGCTGAACGTCCATGGAGGAAGAAACACATTATTTGGATCATGCTTTTTTGGCTTCTTCTTTTTAAGATACTTAAGTATTGTTTATTAAATAAAATAGATATTAAGGACTGAAATTGTTTTACTATTAGCCTAGAGTATTATGTTCTTGTCACCTTTTCCTATTAGTTTTTCCATAGCTAAAATATGTTCTATGTGCTGAAAAGGATAACACACATTGCGATGTACTTGAACACAAGAAATTTAGACCACTCTTTTGCATGACCTTATTTATCAAGCTTATTTGAATGTTTCCATCTTCTTTATTTATTTGCATTTTTTTTTTATAAGACAGATCATATAGAGTAAAGGGATGTAAAGAACATTTAGACTCATCGTTCTCCGAATTCTCCTAAGCTTTTGCAAAATCCTACCTAATCCTCATTTATCTAAAAAAATATAATAAATGGAATTAAGTTCTTGCTCTTTTGACTGTATCGACTAATTAAAGAGACTATAATATATATAATTTTTTTTTAGAGAACCGTAGAAATTAAAAAGTTTTTTTTGTTTGTTAAAGAAGGAAAAAAGTAATTTATGAGTTAAGAATTGTATTTCACTGTCTTGTATATTTAAACCATAAATAAACAATAATGTAAAATGACTTCCCGTATCAAAAGTCATAACTCATAACCAATCTAATTAAGTTTAGATATAAAAGAGAAACACAGTAATCTGTAAGATCAAATTTGATATATGCTACAGTTTTACTTTTATCATATACAATAAATCTTACAGTAAGTTATTATACCGTATGGAGTGTAAAAGAAAGAACATTTTTATACGTTCTCTGGACTCCATTACATCTACCACTTGAACAGCCACTTTTTTCATAGACCATCTGAGTTTAGCTTTTGGTGATAGATGAATGTAAGGATGACCTAAATATGTGGGCCATAACCCATAAGTTTGACTCCACCAGTTCTCTCTAATGATTCGTCTTCTATGATATTATCCGCTCGTGCTGCATTGTATAAGGAGAGATAAGATAGTTCAAGAAATCTGATCAGTCTACAAACACCTACCTAATGCCCAAATTGCATCATATATTACTTTGAATCCAGAGATGCTCAGTAATTGGTATATTACCTTGAAAACAATTGAAGAATAAGGACACCACATACAACCATCGTCTTTGTATAGGGAACAGCAAAACCTCTATGATAAGTGATCACACTGAAGCTGTAAGAACAACCCTCCTCTTTGTATAACAAATTAAATTCATTCTTCGATAGAGTCTTTGGGCATTACTGCATTAGTACTGAGAAGTTCCCATAACATTCATACAAACTAACTACATTTGTTAGCATTAGTCCGTTCTAGTTTGTGATACAAATTTGCAAACTCAAAGATAAGAGACCTTTATTGGATTTAACCTGAAGACGTTGAGTTTTGTTGTAGCTCACATCCCCTAGAATTATGTATAACCTTCCTTCAAAAAGTTAGATATAATTCAATCTCATTATTGACAACATACTACATACTACATGCTCATAAATACATTATTCAAAATAACCAAACTTAATCTCCTAGAAACAGGAAATCACAAACTTGATAACTACTGGTTCGTTTGTTCACATATCAAGAGTATACTTAGAAACATAGCTGTGCGACTCATGATTTTAAGAATATAAGAAACATATATAATTAATGTTCAAACCTGAAGAACTGCGATGCTAAACCAACATTTCCATATCTTCTGGTTGAGACCAAACCTGTAGCAAATAAGATGTGCATAAAGAAACGAAACCGATTTCAGATTTAAGATGATACAAAACTTGTATAGAGGAAACCAATTCTATGAGCTCCTCGAGGTTTTTATGAGAATCAATATCTATTCCAAACAAAAAAAAATATGAAGAAGAAGAAGAAAATCTCTTGTTTGTCATGTAGGTTATTCTCGTCAATCAGTAGCCAATACAACCGATTAAACACTTGAGAGAGGGAGGATTTATAATTTACCTTGTAGATTGGGCATTCATGCTTCTCTTTTAATGTACGTCTAAATGTTGGAGACAAAGTTGTGCTCGTAGTCTGAGGAACTTGTCGCTTGATTTTCCTTGGCTCATAGATATCCTCGGCGCATTCCGTTCTCTCGCTTTGATTGGTACAGAGAAAGAGTCGAATATTAGTTAGAAGGTATCATGAGAAGAAAGTTGAAGTAAGAAGATGTGATGGCTCCAAATAGTTGCAGATGTAGTGTGACTGGTGAAGCTTCTCTAGTGAGATAAAGAATGCATGCTTGGAAGTCCAAAGGACATTTCTAACAGCGCAACTTCAATGACGGAGGGAGACTAAAAGGATGGTTAACGCTAGGAGAAGAATCATTTTGTTTTAAGAAGCCGAAGATATATGAAGCTGATGTGGCAGCAATTCAATAAAATTGTACGTAATACGATGTCATACGCTTTAGGTCTATGTAGAACATCATTTGTAGTATTTGCTAATGTGGCATCTTAAGAAAGAAAGTTAGAAAGCTGAGGTGGACACTCTTAAGAGCCCCAAGCTTGTGTTTTTATATAGTATAGATTTTTTTGAATGGTAAAATAAATTTAATAATTAATAATTTTTGATTTTTTTTAGCTGTAGTAACTTATTTAACCATGAAAAAATTCAAATTAAATTATAAACATTTTTTAGTTATTGAACATTTAAGATATTTGGTGTTATGTAATGCAAATTTTTTATCCACGGTCCAATCTCTACATATTTTTCTATGTAAAGCATCTAATATATTTTTCTCTGCAAATTGTTTTACATCCATATTCGTTCAAATAAATAAACCAAATTGGCCAGATGAACAATCATCTAGTAAATTTGCATCCAGACCATAAACAAACAAAGTTAAACATTTACTGCTCGAGCTATTGAGGTGGAAGATATATAGAACAAATAAATTATAGATAAAACATATTATTGCTAAACCCAAATAAGAACAAATGAGCAAAAGAAGAATTTCATTATAATTAGGAACAAAGCCTTTAAATTTATTATTCTTTTTTTTTTACCATCAGCAATTTCTCTTTCCCTCATCAACATTATCTTCTAATATTAGAAACCTAAAGAAGCTGGCAAAACAAAACCTCTCTTATCTTCAGACCAAAGATGTACAAAATAGTCAGTTGCACCTCTGAAGAAGTAGAACAACACTAATACTGCAACTGAAGCCTCGCCGCCAAAGTAACCAAAATAAAATCCCCAAGAAAATAAGGAAAATGAAGGAAAGAGAATGAGAAACTATCTTCAAAATCGGATCACGAATTGGGAGTTACGTCCCCTGTTGCCTCTTGTATGATAGGCAGCTTCTGCACCAGTGAAGGCTTGAACTTTTTACACTGTTTCAAAAGATGTAAAGTCAAACGAGTTAAAAACGATGAGATAAAGTAAAGCAACCTGAGGCAAGAGTGTTATTTTGTTCTATACCTGTTCAATGAAGGCTCTGATCTCTTCCTCTGTGAGGGCTTCGTCTTCCTCGGTATTGTTTTCATCCCACCCAAGGGATTTAAGAAACTCAGCCTCTTTTTCATCTGGACGGTCTGCCGATTCAAAACAACTATTACTCTCTGCAACTCCAGAAACTTTGTCGACCTTTTCCATGACGATGTCATTTCTTTCTACAGCTTGTGCACTTGGAGATTCACTAGCTACAAGCTCCTTAGATCTATTTGCCTTCTCCTCAACGGAAGAAAAGATGGAGTTAGTTTTTGATGGATCAGTTGAGATGTTTGTAGATGTTTTCTTCTTCAAAGCACTATAAAATGCATTCCTGCTCTGAGTTTGAGCCAAGGAAAGTTTCTTTTCAGCGGTTTTTCCAGCTAGCATGACGGAAGCTTCCCTGGGCTCTCTTCTCACAGACGCAGTAAATTGTGTAGATGGAGCAGCAGTCGTCTGGTTAGCACCAGCTCCGCTGTTGATTACACGACTTGGACTTCCAGATTCCTTAACAGCAGATACCCCATTTTCCCTTGCAGGTTTGAGAACCACCAGCTTCTTAATAGGATCAGGCTTGATCTGACTTCCAGGATTAGAGTGAAGATTACCAAGCAGCATAGAGGACTGCTGGTGGGTATTTCTTGAAGAAGCAAGACCGATTTCACCACTTCGAACAATTGGTTTGGCCTTGGATTTATCAGAAGAGTTCAGAATCTGAAAAATCAATCAACATATACTGAGTCTAGCCGGAGGTAACAGGAGAAAAGTAAGATTAGCTACCGAAAAAAAAGCTTACTGAGCCCTTTGGTGCTGAAGGCACAACTGGTATCAACTGTCTCGCTCGGTCTTCAAGTCTTTGTATCTTTGCAGATCCCTAGTAAAAATGACATCTAAGACAAACAGAAAAGGTAATGTACTATAAAGCAACACAAAGATGAAAATCGTACCTGTGGTGGTGTACCAGTTCTTGCTGGAGCCTGCACCAATGCTTCAGCCATGTTACGACAAGTCGGTCCTGTTAAGGTACCCGTAGTACCAACATGAGCTTGGGACCCAGAGCCACTCTTCTCAATAACATTAGGAACCTCTGCCAGAGCCGATGTCCAACCTTCCCCAACGATCAAGCCCGAGTTACCAACCGACAAGCTCTGAACAGCAGGACTTAGACCAGCAGATGAGATTCTTACAACGTCTGGTCCTCCATTCCTCTCTTCGGCCCTAAGCGAAGGAAAATCCCTTTCGAACCCGGTTTTTTTGGAGGTCTTTGCAAGGCTAGTTAAAGGAAGTATACCACCACCATTGTAAAACTTATTGTTGCCACCATTTTTTAATCCTACTGTAAGTCGTTGAGGCAGGTGGTCGCCCTGTTTCCTTGTTGTCATTGACTGTGATCGTCTCAGTTTCTCCTGATCCCTACCAATCAAGAAGGCATCCAGAGGATTGTCATTATCCCATGGATCCATGTAGCTCCACGTATCCTTCTCCCTGCTCCGGTCTTTATCTCTGTGGCTCCTATTGACATTGAAACTACTATATGCATTTTTGGTAGACCCATTACTAAATCCCCTCCGTGCATTGGTGGAAGAAGATCGATCGAGAAACGGAGACCGAGCTGAATCAACATCACTTTTGCTCCTAGAATTCCTACTCTTGCTATTATGTGACAAGGAAGAATCTAAACCAACCGAAAAGGAAAGGAAAATAGGGTCACAATGCAATTCAAATCAATCAAACAATGTTTTTACCAAATAAAGATGCTATGGTCAAAATACTAAATCCTACAAACATATTGTTATGAACTCAAACATACCTGAACGAGAAGAAGATGATAGAATGTGATTTTTACTCCCAACACCAGAACCATGCCCTGTACTTCTCAACCATTCAGGAACTAAAGAGGGTTCACGTTTCTCCATCAGTAAAGCTATACTTCATCAGAATAAAAGAACGAAATTGCAAATCCTCTGGCCTTTTTCACCCTCAAGAACAATATAACCAAAAAGCCTCGTCTTCCTATATAAAATGCTGAATATCTCGCTACCCTCTAATCACCTAACACCACAAAAGGGCAGGGAAGATATCACAATCATTCGTCTGCTTAATCTCAAAATCCAAAATTTCCCACAAAAAATAATGATTCGTCTCAAAGCTACACGAAAATCAGTGACGAGAAAACCGTCTCTCCCACAGGATGATTTTAAAGATGCTCGAAGATCATAATCGCTATCGATAAACCTACCAATAAAGGAACTAGCCTCAATTACAGTGATGGCACCAAACCAGAAAACCCTAAAATCCCTACGCAATAATATCTTCTATATATGACTATCACTCCCGATATTAATCAGCCTAAGCCCTAGAATCAATACCACGGAGAAATTCGTTCAACGCATCACCAGAAATTTTTTCCCGGAATAAGAAAATTGAAACGGTGGGTGCGACAACGAAACCAAACCAAGACGGAGATTATTCGTCTAAACGGAATATGCAGGAGTTTTTTAGATGCAATCGTTCAAACGAAACAATGGCTTCCTACCCAAGGAGGGAGAAAGATGAAAGTTGCAAAAAAAAAAAAAAACAAACCGAGAGAGGAAACGGGAAGCGATGGAAGGAGAAGCGAGTGGAGGAAACGATTAGGGTTTTCAAAAGAGAGAAATCGAATAGAAATTAGGGTTTTTGAGATGGGAAGAGAGACTGGTAGAAGAAGAAGAGAAGGAGGCTAGATTGTTTTTTGGCTCTGTGTTTTTTTTTTTTTGGAGAACGAAACGCATGAACAAACAGCAGCCTCTTTCTCTCTTTTTTCTTCTCCTAGAGAGAAAACTCAATTGTATTTTTATATCCTTTTTATATTATACTATATTTTTGTCATAGGTTTTCTCTCTTTAAATAAGATAATTTGGAAGAAGAGACAATGATCAAGTTTCTCAAAAACTTGTTGATTTTATGTTCTTCTCAATCCAATGAATTTATAGTAGTGTAGCAATTTAATATTATTAAAGTATCTCGACACATGGAACTATTTTGTGCAATTTTTGACTTTTATAATTTAATTAATATATCTTTTTTAACACTAATTATAGTATATTTCTGAATGTAATTTAGTATAATTATTGACAGCAAGTTTCATATTGTTATATATATATATATATATATATATATATATATTTCATAAATACTGTTTCTATATTTTTACGCAAAATATTATATCAAATACCAAGAAATACAATGGTCCAATATTTTTAAAAAAGTATATATAGCACATTTTATCTATTAGTTAATTCTTATATCGTATTTAAGTGTAGATACCACCATAAATTTTATACTATTCATAGATTTATATTTTTATAAAAGTATTTATATATTTAAGTTAAAAGTATTTATATATTTACCCCTAAAAATATTTAACATATATCAATAAATGCATCATCTAATTAATAAGTACAAAAATCTATTTTTCACATAAAATTAATTAGTATATCTCTAAATGTATTTTAACATAGATAGTAACATCAATTTCTTCCTTTTCACGCTTAAATCATTTAACTAAAATATTTCTATACTATATTTACAAATTTTGTCTTAATGTAAATATTAATAGATTCAGCTTCCATTAACTAAATACAATTTTATTTGGTGGCTTTTTAAATTTAACCATTTAATTAGTGTCTTTTTCTTTTCTTTTTTTGGTCAAACATCATTTTAATAGTGTCTTTAAACATATTTTCGTACTTCTTACTATTTAAACATTTATCAATTAAATAGTAGTATTTTGTGTTTTTGAATAATACTACTATTCACACATATCTCATTTATATAAAAACACTTATATCTTTATCTTCAATAAAATTATTAACATATCTTAACAACGTCCAACAAGTTTTTGACAACAACTAAACAAGCTAATTTATGTGTTTTTACATAATTAGATTTTAATTAGTGTATATGTAAAGGTATTTATTATTTTAATATTAGATACTACCTTCGTATTATCCACTAATACAGTATATAATTTACGTAGTCAGTTTTAATAGTTTTCTATTATTTGCATATGTGCATAGTGCATTGTCAACTTTAAAAGCATACTATTAATAATATCAGTCAATAACTATTTATAATTTATTATTATATTACCAAATTACATGATTATTTATAACTCATTTTCTTTCTATTATCCCATGTTATCATTTATACAGTCACTTTTAATAGCATACTATTATTTTCACATATGTATAATCTATATAGTCAATTTAAAAACCTACTCTAAAAAACAATCATATAGCCAAATGAACAAATTACCAAACCACTAAGTCAATACTTATTATAATTCTTTAATATACTAGATTTTGCGTCCACGCTACGCGTAGGTATTTTTGTTGATAAAAAATTATATGCAATCAGTTATATTTATTAAGACATAAATTTTATATATTAGTGTTTTAATAATATATTAAAAATATTATGGTGTTAATCTAATAATTTTTATGTAAATTGTGAGGTTTTATCAGTTTTTTTTTAATCTATATACAATATGTTGTATTTAAAAAACTTATTATTTGGTCAAACACTTATAAGTTAATATATTCAAACCTACTAAAATTATTACAAATTAATCAAATGGTAATTTTAAACATAGTATTGACATGATGATAAAGTATTATACATTCACTTCTTTGAATCAAGAAGATAAAATTTTTTCATCATTTTTTTTACTTTTATTCTAATTATATATGTGTTCTTTAAAAATAATAAAAAATAATAAAATTTAATATTTAATATTTTTCTTCTCTTGTTTAACCAATAACAAATTTTTATTTTGATATAATAATTAAAAAAACAAACTAATAAATAAAATATTTGCTTTGAGATTAATAACAAATTTAAATTTGAAACCAAAAAAATAGTTGAATATGAAATGAAGAAAATCAAACAAAGTTTATGAATTAAATATATTTTTATCAATTGGTAGTGTAAACTTTCAAATAATTTTTCAATGATTATAAGTCATCTCTTCTAATAAGAATGAAATGTTTTTTCATCATTTTCATTTTTATTCTTGTTATATTTTTTTTTTACAATGAATATATGATATTTACTTATTGTTAATGTTTTTTGTATGATTATATTCAGTTTCATCATATTCATTCTCACTTCTTTTACTTATAATCAAGTAGGCAAAACCGATACAATTTAATACATACAAATTTTAAAAAATAAAGTAACAAATTGAAAAACTTAAAACTAAGAACTTCTACATTAATCTATTGCAATTCCAAGTCGAATATACAAAACGTAAATTTTCGATCATTTTTGCAAAATATATTACATGAGATTATGTAGAAATATGTTTTGTATATGTGAAAAAAATAGATGAATATAAATCATAATTATTAGTTATTTAAAATTTTACGGGAAAAGCTTTAATCAAGTATCTTAAACTTGCATAAATAGCATATATTTTTAATAGATAATAAATTAAATTTATAACTTAAACAATAATAATGGAGATTTTAATATCATGTTGGGTTTTTTTGTTAATAGAGATTTCTTTATTTTTAATTTATTTTCTTAACCATAATATTATAATTATGATTTTTTATAATTTAAAGTTTTCATATATGAATAAAAATGAATTTTTAAATGTTGATGTGGATACCTTGAAAATAGTATAGATTCAACTGTTATTAATAATATAATAATTTTACCTAACAATTTTTCCTATATTGTTTTGTATTAACAGTGTAATTTTGTAATTTAGAAACTTTTTTAATTTTAGATATTGATGTGGAGTAATAAAATTAACCTTTTAAAACTTATGTCGATGTTTTTAGAGGCATATAGTTTCAACTTTTTATTTTTTTTTATAAATATATTTTTCTGTTAACAATATAATTTTAAAATTTAGAAATTTTTCTTAATTTTAAATATTAATGTGTACCAATAAGATTGAACTTTTAAATTATATATAAACATTCTTGGAGGCATATTGATAGAATCATGGCCGAGATGGGAGCTAAGTACGAGGAACAAATCGAGGTTCAACCCGGAACGCAAGATCAAATGGCCGAGGTGACCGAGCTGAGCGAAGTCGAGGTTCAGGGAAGGGTACAAGACCAAGATACCGACCAGCCCGATGTCCTGGCCATACCAGTTGGACCCATGACCAGGTCGCGTACAAAGAAGCTTATGGGGGCCATCCAACAAGTCCTTACCGAGCTAAGGAACCAAGGCCAAGCTGACGACCCAACACCCGTGAACAAAGTCATGACCGTTCTCAGGTACTCTGGTCCGAACTGACCTGGTTGGGGTGTTGTGTTAATACTCTTTTTCCTTACATTCGGTTTTGTCCCACTGGGTTTTCCGAATGGGATTTTAATGAGGTTAATTCACGCCCATCTCACGACCATGGTTCGATTCGCGGCCAAGTATATCGGTCAAGGAAGCTTAAAGGTCTAGCGAGAGGACGCGAAGGGTCATCCGGAAATCCAATCGTTATTCAACGCATCTAGTCTCGTTTAGTTTTCATTAATGTCTTTTAATTTCCGTTAAGACCTATGGTCTTCCTTTTAGCCTCTATATAAAGGCGACAATGTACTTGGATCTTTCATCACTTATCCTTTTAATAAAATTTCTCTTTGAGTTTTCTCTTTTGTTCTTTATGAACTTTGTCGATATTTTGGTGGTTAGCCATTGATCGATCTTCGGTTTATCAAGTAGTTTCACCCTGCTTGGCGCAGCTTTCGAATCCCAAAGTGTGAGAGAGAGTTGTAGTCGTATTAGGGGCTTAGGGAATTTTGGGACTTGTCTCACACCCTAACATCCGATATCGCAACCCCCTTGATCGTTTTGTCCATCCCCTCGTTTCCAACCTCTTCTTTGAATTTGGGCCTAAGGATTTTCGAGCCACAACTCACGCCTTAGCATCTCTTTCACCGAATCGGACTGGATCGAAGGATCTATCAACCTCCACCGAACCAAGTGTGTGACAATCCTAGGACGGTCTTCTATCAAGTGGTATCAGAGCCACGCACTTGTGAATCGGTACTATCTTTCTTTTTCTTTAAAATTATGTCTTTCCTCATCTTTTCTCTTGTAAAACGATTATTAAAAAAAAAAAAAGAAGTTCAAAAGTCATAAAAAAAAAAAAAAAAAGAAAGAAGTCCAAAGCTTAAAAAAAAAAAACGATCTGAATTCTTTTCTTCCTATCTATTCTTCTTATCTCTTAAAACGTCCAACTTGCTTGATTCACCGATTCGATTGAGGTTTAAGTCGACTTGTCGATTTAGTTTGTTTAGAACCGGAGAGAAACTCTAGTGTGTTGCGAGGTCATTAAGAGAGTGAGTGAACAAAGAGGGAAACACTTGTGAGGAATTTTATACTAATGTGTTTGTTTAATTTTTGCGAGGTACTTGTATGTCATCTGATTTCTCTGTGGACGACTGTGAATTCTACACCTTCCGGGACGGTAATCACGTTCGTTGGTACACCCCAGGAGAGATGGAAGCCAAGCTTAACCAAATCACTGAGATGATGGAGCGCATGAGCCAACGAATGGAGAGGCTTGAAGTACAGCCGAGGCCAGCGGAATTAAATGACCAGAACCGTGAGGAACCTGTGCATATCCGCCGAGATCGGAACCAGGAACCTGAGATAGACAATCCATTCTACGATGACAACCATTCGTCTGGTAGTAGCCGAGTGAGGCCGCGAGGCAATCGGATGTTCCGTGGCCGAGCTGGAGGGATCCGAGACCGAGGACACGCCATACCCATGAGAAACCCGAACGACCGTTACGAGGGA